ATGGATAGTTGGTTGGATGGATGGATGGATGGATGGATGGATGGATGGATGGATGGATGGATGGATAGTTGGATGGATGGATGGATGGATGGATGGATAGTTGGTTGGATGAATGGATGGATGGATGGATGGATGGATGCTTTCTTTCTTGTAAAGCAAAGCTCTAGATTACCTGGAAAACTGCAAACTGTTTAATTTAGACTCAGCAGATTAATTTTGTTGGTTGCTGTAAGTTGACGACTCAGAAATTAACTTCTTGTTAATGTTTCCGTTTTACAGCTGCTGAGCTGCAGTATTTTGTGTTTTTGACATTCATATATTCTGTGTATTCATGAAGGCAAACATGRTAAATGGATTGTGTTAACAGATGCAGTTGTTGCTCATTGTTAATAAATCAGCCTCAAAGACTCAGAAGTAAACGTGGTGTTTCTCCTCAGGGCCAGCTATTACAGAAAAGGTGGTCGTGCCATGCTGCCTGTGAAGTGGATGCCCCCAGAGGCCTTCATGGAGGGAATCTTCACCTGTAAAACAGATACATGGTACAAGAACGGCAAATTGACCAGAGTTTTGTGTTAGTTTGAGACAAAAATCAACTGTTAGTAAGAGAGTATCGAGTCTTCAGAKTAAATTTAGTAAAAACAAACACTTGGACAGTAAACAGCTATTAGTCTATGGTGCAAGTCAAATAAAAAACTTACATCTGCTTATTTATTTTCTTAAAATGTAGCTTTTTAAAATTTGATGCATACACTAAACAGTGAAAGAACCTGTGGAGGAAAAAATATATACTCAATTTGATTTTTAAAAGAAAAGCTGCAAAGAGCCACATTATTTTATCAGATAAAAGCATCATCATCATTTAAATGTTTTGAGTTATTGAGTTGATTAAACTGTTTCCATTTTAATACATAATGTGACATTGTCAGACGTGGTGGGGTAATAAATGCAAAATCAGCTACAGTTTGACCAGAGGTAAAGTTTCAATTTATTTCATTCATAAAAATAATCTTTATACAGTAAATTAAAAATAAAACGTAAATTATGCTGGGTGCAGAGTGAAGAAAAAAATACGTATATCTGCCCCGTATCTGCAAATATATACAAAACGAAACGAGATGAGATCTTGATGAAGTGTTGAAGCTGAGACGAGGAGAGTTTGTTTTATMATCTCTTTTTGGGTTTTTGTCTGTAGAACCTCAGCTGGGTTCTGGTCTGTGTCTCCTCCTGCAGGTCGTTCGGGGTTCTGCTCTGGGAGATCCTGTCTCTGGGCTACATGCCGTATCCCTGCAAAACCAACCAGGAGGTTCTGGAGTTCGTCACCAGCGGAGGCAGGATGGACCCTCCTAAAAGCTGCCCGGGGCCCGTGTAAGTTCTGACAGGAAGTAGATTCACAAAGGTTTTTTTTTAGTTTGTTGTAATGATTTAGTGTTTGTTGTGTTGAAGTTATCGACTCATGACTCAGTGCTGGCAGCACTGTCCTGATCACAGACCCAACTTCTCCACCATCCTGGAGAGAATTAACTACTGCACTCAGGTTTATTTTACATTTATCTGCATTTATRMGCACATTGAACTAAGTTCCATGTTTTTACAGTGATGTGTGACTTTTCTCAGGACCCTGATGTGATCTACACCCCCCTGCCTGTGGAATACGGTCCCAACTCCGAGGATGATGGAGGCATGGTGATGCGTCCCGCCGCCCCCACCTCCCACATCCTCAACCCCCTGCTGGTCTCACGCCCCGTCTGCCAGGACTCGCCATCCCAGCTGGGTTTCTCTCCCAAAGTCTTCGGTCCTCCCGTCCTCCCGCCGCAGCCCACCAAACCCCGCCTCCTCCCGCAGAAYGCCCACCCGGTCCGCCACGAGGCCGCGTCGTGCTGCGAGCCGCTGGAGCCGTCCTGGGCCGAGAGCGTTCCCGCCCCGGGGAACTCCCTCCACCGACCCTGCTCCAGGACCAGCTCCTCCTCTGGGAGCCAGAGGCTGAAGAACAAGACCAAGAACCTGTGGAACCCAACGTACGGCTCGTGGGTCTTGGAGAGCTTCAGGGGGAAGAAAACGCTGGTCCACACTCAGTCCGTGCCGCTCTCAAGCCACGCCCCCACCTCCCAGYCGTGCAGCTCCGCCTCAGAGAGCGGCACCTACCTCAGCTCCGTCTCCTCTTCCCCGAAAACCCCCGGCGCCGCCTCAAAACCCGGGCTGAGCCTGGCGAAGCTCCAGAGTTTCCCCTGCGGGAACGTCAACTACGCTTACGACGAGCAGAGCTACGAGGCGGAGAGCCCGCCCACGGTCCCGCCCAGACCCTCCGAGGCCGTCGCCAACAGTAGCTCTGCGCCTCCGGGGCTTCAGGCGTCCGCCATGCCCAAACCGCTGCTGAAGCGCCACGCCAGCTACGGACACGAGGACGTGAGGAGACACGCCAAGACCGAGAGACCCACGCGTGACCGAGACTCTGGCTTCTCCCTGTCTGAAGACCTGAGCGTCGCCCACATCTGACCGGGACTCTGAAGGAAAACTGATTACAGAACGCTGGAAACAAACCCCTCAGATGGACACGCAGGAACCTAAATCTACTTTGATACATTAACGCAACTTGTCGTCTGAACGTCCACTGTTTGGCAGCAGCTGTGAGAAACTCAGCGATCCGAACACTTTTCTCCTTCTTTGTTGTGTGAAAGCTTTGGCAATAATGAGTTGAAGCAAAGTTAGTTTGTCTCGTCACGTTTCACCTTTTAAAACGAGCTTAGTTTACAGCAACACTGTGCGTTCTGCATTTCAGTGTTTCTGTCAGGCTTTTCTTAAAACTCAATAATTCCTCCAGCTTCTTCTTCCTTGTTGCGTTTTCATTGCAGCAAAATGATCATTTCCCTCTGGAGAAGAATGAGGCAGATTATACCAGAAATATAATCTGAGCCTTATTTTAAATCAGGTTTTTATTGATGTTAAACAAGTCTTTAAATAACAAGTGAAACGATTAGTTTCCACCTGAATACCAAAACCTGTAGCTCACCTGTAGCATTGTTTCTCCAAGCTGCTAATGCCAGGTTAATTTAATTTCTCATCAAGGTCTTGCATTAATGACGGGAGATTGAGGCTGCTGCGTGAAGTCTTCTCYGTGGGGTTCAGGTCTGGACTCTGYTGGAAATGATGTCTCCTGGTCTCTGAACCGGTCTTTCACAGTTCAGTAGYTTCAGGTCCGCAGACCTCATAACATTGCTGAACCCAGAACCACCTGCCCCACAGGCTGGAACAGAAGACACAAGAGGGTTTCTGTCTCTTCTTACCCTGATGCTCCCACCACTCTGGACCAGGGTCAGTCTGGACTCATGAGACCACGTGACTTTTTTTTTTTACAGTTCTTAACCAGATTTTAATTGTTTTGATAATCTTCATTGATGTTTCCTCTGCTTGATGCCAATTATCTGTCTTCATCTGTGTCTTTCATCATGGTGGAGAAGCTCCTCGAGTCGTTGCGTCTGTTAAAGGGTTGAACTGAAACAGCAGTTTTATCCAGTGGGAGGGGCTTGTACCTGTTTGCTCAGTTTAATCAGGTGGTAACCTTGMTTTTTTTTGTGGGTCAGTATGCTTTAATGTGAACCTAATTAGCTTCCCGCCTGTATAATGTCAAACAGTAACTTCCTAAAAGAGACCAAACATATATTTTATGTTTCATAAAAAGACTTTTTTTCAAACAGCTCTTTGTCCCTGAAAGTGTTGCAGCTGAATCAGCCCAGAGTTCCCAATTTAATTATTATTTTTTAGAACACAAAAAGCTTGGCTTCATATTAAAGTGCAGTGCCTGATCTGTCACTACCTCTAACATCGCTGTGTGTGTGTGTGTGTGTGTGTTTGTGTGTGTGTGTGTGTGTGTGTGTGTGTGTGTGTGTG